CCTGCCTTTGCTGTTCTGTCCACCCAGTGCAGGGTAAAACAATTGGACCGTATCATGGTGAGGTCCAGAACCACTGGGGTTCTCCATGTCTCAGAGAAGCAGACAAGGTTAAAATCTTTGATGTTCTGCTATAACTTTTCTCTGGACATACATGATCCAATTTGATGTCCAGAAACTGGGGAACCAGCAACCATCATCCACTGGGAATTGGATCATGGTGTGTTTGTTCACTGGGTCTGGTTCTGACTCCAACAGGTTCTCCTGTCTTTGCTTTGTCACTATTTGTGTCCTCCTGCTTTGTTCTTTGAAATGAGGTGAATCTCTGTAGGCCATCTTGAGTCTACAGACTTTCCAGGAATTGGTGAGTAGATGGTTTTATAAGGTCCAAAAGAGTCAATGTTCTATAAGTAGGTAGAACTAGTGATGGTGAGATGAAGCCTCTTGAAGCACTGAGGCTTTCCATTCAATTGCTCGACTCATGAGGCGAGGTATCAAGACGCTTCATTTGATCTACTGCGCCATCAAGTGGACAATAAATGTAAAATAGACAGAGTCATTATAATGACATGAATTTCTTGCGTAAAGTTTTAAATTGACTTAATAAATAAATGGTGTTTGTGATGCCCATAAATTCTGAATATGGAGTCAATATGATCTTAATCTGACTTTATGATACCATGGCTGGATTAAAAGGGAAAAGTGGGAGAGGGTTGTGATGTAAATTTACTTATGTTACTTTTGCTCATAAAGCTTATAATAACGAATATCTATATTTCAAAAGATGAAGCCTCCTTGAGATTAAACCTTTTTTTTCCAAGATAGACTTTAAAAATAGGTTCCTTAACTGGGAATCCAACCAGGACAATGGAGTTAAAAGCACCAAATCTTAAACACTAGACCACCAATGAACGCGAATGACACTACTTGTTCCAACACACTGCTCTTTCTTGCTGATTCCAAAGAAAAAAAAGACAAAAGAGTCAAAAGAGTCAAATAAATACGCAACACGATCCCAAGACAAATAAATGTGACTTGGAATCCGCAGCGCTGTGCTGTCCCTTATACTTTGAATCACGCGCAAACTAGCGAAGCAATTCCTGAATCAATCATGTGGTACGGCCCGCTTTCGAGCCCTCGAACGTCGCCACATACATCATCGACACAAGCCCCGATGTGCGCTTCGCAAAAAGTCTGCCTGGATTACTCGACACACGCATTGACACACTGGACACATCACTAAGTACTAGCACTAGTTATAACTTAGGTGTTTGGTTAGAAAAGTGAACTTAAATAGACGTTCCATAAAACCAGAGTCGGGTCAGAGGGACCAGGACAGCGTTTGATCTTGGTCCCACATGATTCTAAATAAGACAATGAAACAGATGATGAACTAACTGCTGTCTGTTCCAGC